TTTCTATTTTTTCCAAATTTTCATCTTTTTGCTGAATATTACATACAACTAAAGTGTTTTCAGTATTCAATTATTAGATAATTCCAAAACAATTACATGCAAAATTTGTAACGTATGATTACATGAAAATGAAATCCTAAAAGCTAATGATGAGTTAAATGAGGAGGAGAATCGGTAAAAATCATGTAGAGAAGCTTTAGACACGTTTAAGAAGCATAACTTCTCTAGAAAGCTAATATGATTCCCTTTATGATATTAACCTTACAAGCTAATACAAGACTGAATGGATCTGTTGCGATGGAGTGATTGGAATGACTTGATGGAATTTGATTGAAAACAAATTAGAATTAAATAAATAACTCTTAGATTTTAATTTTGTGTTTTTAATATATTTTTCATCAATGATCTGATTTTATTTTCTATTTTTTCCAAATTTTCATCTTTTTGCTGAATATTATATACAACTAAAGTGTTTTCAGTATTCAATTATTAGATAATTCCAAAACAATTACATGCAAAATTTGTAACGTATGATTACATGAAAATGAAATCCTAAAAGCTAATGATGAGTTAAATGAGGAGGAGAATCGGTAAAAATCATGTAGAGAAGCTTTAGACACGTGTAAGAAGCATAACTTCTCTAGAAAGCTAATATGATTCCCTTTATGATATTAACCTTACAAGCTAATACAAGACTGAATGGATCTGTTGCGATGGAGTGATTGGAATGACTTGATGGAATTTGATTGAAAAAAAATTAGAATTAAATAAATAACTCTTAGATTTTAATTTTGTGTTTTTAATATATTTTTCATCAATGATCTGATTTTATTTTTAATTTTTTCCAAATTTTCATCTTTTAATGTTTGCTGAATAATATATACAACTAAAGTGTTTTCAGTATTCAATTATTAGATAATTCCAAAACAATTACATGCAAAATTTGTAACATATGATTACATGAAAATGAAATCCTAAAAGCTAATGATGAGTTAAATGAGGAGGAGGATCGGTAAAAATCATGTAGAGAAGCTTTAGACATGTTTAAGAAGCATAACTTCTCTAGAAAGCTAATATGATTCCCTTTATGATATTAACCTTACAAGCTAATACAAGACTGAATGGATCTGTTGCGATGGAGTGATTCGAATGACTTGATGGAATTTGATTCGATTTGGGGGAAAGGGGAACGAGTGATGATGAAAAGTAAACAAGAGATGCGGATGGCTCTTGTGTACAACAGATAGAAGCAAATGATATGATGCACCAATGATTCAACCAGGGTTTTTTAAGGATATGACACACCGTGAGAGATGACCTATTTTGCAAAGATTTTCTTCAAAAGATAGATGATCTAAGCTCTTCTTTCAAACACGGTTTTAAGGAGAGAAAAGGGGACACGAAATTAAAGCACACAAATGAATTAGTCTTGGGACAAACCCCCTTGACTAACCATGCAAAGAATCAGTTTGAAAATCAAAAGAAACAAAAGAACAAAACAACTAAGTACAAAACTGACTCTAGACCTTCCAAGCCATGGATGGTAGAAAGAACTGGGCTTGGACAAATGACAAGCTAAATGGGCAATGACATTGTGGGAATACTTGCCTCGTTCAAAACCTTAATGAGAAAACTCAATGGGAAAAAACTCATAAAAGGAAAAAAGCACAAAATTCCCCATAAACCCATTAGCTAGTCATCGGCTCTTATGCAAACCAAAACAGTATGCTTAGCCTTTTCATCACTTGGTTCATACTTATACTGATTAAGTAGAACTTCTAAGGCATTTTGAAATAGACCAGGTCATGGGACAATTTTAGAACCTCTAGATCTTCTTCAGCTTCAAGCTTGGTCTTCTCTTGTTCCTCCTCGACTACAAGCTTGCATTTAGAGTCTTCCATGATCATATCAAAAGCAAATAGATCATATACAAAAGATGAATGTGAAGAAAAAGAGAAACCTTGTTTACTTATAAAGAGTTAATGGGGAGAGAGTTAACATAACTGAAAGATTCGAATTGCATATCCAAATTTTGAACACAGTAAAACAGATAAAAAAAAGTTGATGAAGTGTTGAACTACAAGTGAAATAGAGTAATATTGCTAAAGACCCGCAACAGACTCTGGATTTTGAATATTTTAATTGAAAAAAATAGAATTAACATAAACAAACTCTTAGATTTTGGTTTTGTGTTTTTAATATATTTTTCATCAATTATCTAATTTTATTTTCTATTCTTTTGAAAGTATATTTTTATAGATTTATAATTTATTATTATAAATTCGGTTCTAATCTAATCTAGTATATACATATATATATATATATGAAAGATTACCTAGAATAACTAATTTTAAAAAATAACTAAAATAATCAATGCTTAACGTCTTTAGAACAAAATTATTATAAATTGAACAAAATTATTACAAGTTGATCAAAATTATTACTAGTTTATCAAAATTATTATAAGTTGAACAAAATTATTACAAATTGATCATACATTTTTAAAGAGAAATGTCCTTAGATGCACATAATTTAAGTTTTTGTTCTTAATATACACTAATGTTCTAAAACATTTCTTCTATAACATTTTTCACTAAAGAATTAATCATATTAATTTTAGTTAGACAAAACATTAGTTAATAAAAAGAGAAAAAAATAGTGTACAAAAAGGTATAAATGGCAAAGGCTGATCTGAAATTCAAATCTTTTGTTTAGTTTAGGATCGCTCTTCTCGTTTGATTGTGATTTGTGATTGTGAATCTTTTAGTTTTTTGAAATTTTTTTGATGGGAGGGTGCTTTTGGGATTTAAAGTTCAAAATTATATAGTGGAAATAGATCTGATATAATTGGGTGAAAAGCTAAAGAAACCCGAGTTCAAACAACAACAATGTTAAAAAAATAAAAAAAAATCGGTGAAAATTAGGGTTTGAGTATTGCAGAGATGAGGAAGAAGATGAGAGTAAATTTACGAAGATATTCTAAACTTTTACGAAGACTTTCCTAAAATGTATAAATTAAGAAAATCATTATATGTATTTAGGAAAACTTTCATAAATCGTATAATTGATTTTTTATTTTTTGTTGTTAATTTATATAAAGTTTTTCCATAATTCAGAAAGCTCATCAACAATTCAGGATTTTTTAAAACATTTAGGAACTTTTTTAAAAATTATATGAAACAATGTTGAAAATTTTTTAGAAAGTGGAAAAAGTTTAGCTTTCCTATTACTGTATATTTGTCCTAAAACTTTATTTTCATAGTAAACATGGGAATTACCAATTTTTAAATTCTTAACGTCTTTATAATATAATTATTACTCCTTCTGTTTCAAAATAAGTGTCATTTTTCACAGAAATTAAGAAAAATATTAAAAATTCTGTTTTACCCTTTGTTCACACATAAAATAACATTCTCTTTCTAATTAATACATTAATATAACAAGGTTAAAACATGATTTTTATTTTAAAAATTGCATCGGAAATACAAAATAACGCTCTTTCTGAAATAAAAATAAAACTCTAAAACAATACATTTTGAAACGGAGAGAGTATAAATTAATCATACATTTTATATAAACGCTATTAGAATAATCAACGAAATTTATTATTATTCACACAACTTACTAATCACATATACTATAAAAAAAACCAAACTTTTATGAGTCGCCGACGACTTCGTGGAAACAAGTAAACAAGCCAGTAGTTTCACACAGATTCTTTCGAAATTTCCTCTCCTCTAAAAGCGTTTCGCTTCTATATAAGAAACAAGGGACTTGTTGTTTCCTCAACCACTGTTATACTTTCATTCAAACTCTAATTCACACACTCTCTCTCCTCTTCTCTCTCTCTCTCTCTCTCTCTCTCTCTCTCTCCTCTTCTCTCTCTCCCCTTCTCTCTCTCTCTCTCTCTCTCTCTCTCTCTCTCTCTCTCTTATGGCTGCTTCTTCTTCTTCCTCGTCTCACGTTAAGAAATCCCATGTCTTTCCGAGCTTCCACGGCCCAGATGTCCGTAGAGGCTTCCTCAGTCACTTACACAAATACTTTACAACCAACAGGATCACGGCGTTCAAGGATCAGGAGATGGAGAGAGGGAACACGATTGGACCTATGCTCGTACAAGCCATTAGAGAAGCGACAGTGTCCATCGTGGTGCTCTCGACGAACTACGCTTCTTCAAGCTGGTGTTTAGATGAACTGGTTGAAATTTTGAAGTGCAAAGAAGCTTTAGGGCAGATCGTGATGCCTGTTTTTTACGAAGTTGATCCTTCTGATGTTCGGAAACAGAGGGGAGATGTCGGAATCGCATTCCAGAAAAGCTGCCAAGGGAAAACAGAGGAATACAAGCAGAGATGGAGCAAAGCTTTGGCAGATGTAGCAATCATAGCAGGAGAACACTCTATTAACTGGTTTGTTACTTGTCTCTCTTTTGGCTCAATGAAACAGAATCCTTTTTTTATCTTTCTTAATACGTATGAAGCTGCTTTTGTCAGGACTGATGAAGCTGCGATGCTCGAAAAGCTTTCCAGAGATGTCTCGAACAAGCTGAAAGTGGAATTGCTCAAGGAACAATTTAGGAGTCTTGATGAAGACCAGAGTGGTTTCATATCTGTACCAGAGCTTCGATATGCGATGGAATCCATTGGGGAGAAAACAACTGATGATGAAGTTAAAGAAATGATCCGAGAAGTTGATCTTGATGGCGATGGTCGGCTCAACTATGATGAATTCGCCAAAGTCATGATGGCTAAGTGAGGGCCCTTCTTAGAAAGCAATCTCATCAATGATTTAGAATGCTTTTGTCTTTCTTGATCGATGATTCAATATAGTGGAGTTTCTATATTCTAATAAGATTTTGTTTTGCTAGGATGAGTGATGAAGAACTTGCGAGGGCCAAAAAGTTTGCCACAGATGTTACACTGTCAAAGGAGGAAGAGAAAGAAATTAAAAAATTATTTATGGCTGGCGATATAGACAATGATGGTTTCATAACTGAAGCAGAGTTTCGATATGTGTTGACAAGAAATGGGGACAAAATAACCGATGATGAAGTTAAAAATGCCATCCGAGGAGGTGATGTTGATGGCGATGGTCGGCTCAACTATGATGAATTCGTCAAAGTAATGATAAAGTGAGGGATTCTTAACCCTTCTTAATGAAAAGACTTCACCTGAAGAAAAAAAGACTTAAAAGACTTTTGTCTTTCTTAATCGATGATTCATTTCGATATTTTAATAAGATTTTGTTTTTTTTAGGAGGGCTGCCATGGTCAAAAAATTTGCCACAGATGTTACAATGACAAAGGAGGAAGAGAAAGAAACTAGGAGATCATTTATGAATGGCGATATAGACAATGATGGTTTTATAACTGAAGCAGAGCTTCTATATGCGGTGACAAGAAATGGGGCCAAAGTAACGGAGGATGATGTTAAAAAAGCCATCAAAGCAATTGATATGGATGGTGATGGTCGGCTCAGCTATGATGATTTCGTCAGATACAAGATGACTATGTGAGGGATTCTTAACCCTTCTTACAATGAATTTTCATCGCTTTTGTCTTTCTTATAATCGAGGTGAAGTTTCTATAATCTAACAAGGATTTACTTTTTTCTTTTTTTAGGAAGATGATTGAAGAAACTTCGATGGGCAAAAATTTGGTCACAAATGTTAAATTGTCAAGCAAGGATGATAAAACAGTGAGACAATTATTTGTGGTTTTCGATCAAGACGATGATGGTTTCATAAGTGCAGCAGAGTTGCAACGTGTGTTGAAAATTAATGGGGAAGAAAAAACCGACGAGGATGCATATAAGGAAGCTTGTCGTCTCATCAAAGAATATGATGTTGATGGCGATGGTCGGCTCAACTTCGATGAATTCGTCAAAGTCATGGTGGCAATGTGAGGGATTCTTAACCCTTCTTATCATGTCTTACAGTGAAATCTCTATTGGGCTATATCGGCCTATCTTATGTATATCGATGTTATAACTATATTTAGGTTTAACATACATACTTTATAATAGTATATACAAAGTATATAAGGCTGCGCCTCTCAAACGTGATCAATAAGAATCCTCTTTGATAACTCTTTGACAATCTCATCATGATTCAGAACCCTTTTGCCTTTCTCAATCGATGATTCAGTAGTTGAGTTTCTATAAGTTAACAAGATTTTGTTTATTTCTTTTGATAGGAGGGCTAAAGATGCGAGGGTCAAAGAAGTTACGGCAAATGTCTCGCAAAAAGTTAATGGATTCGTCAATTTCGTGGTGAAAACCTTATTCTGAAAGAAAAAGAAAAATGATTTATCATGTGTTACAGTGAATTTTCATTTTTATCATCTTTAGCAATGTTTTTACTTCTTTCCTGTGGTTGCTTTGTTAAACCTCTTTAGTGTTATGTCAGGTGTGAACTCATGTGTTTGCTCATCTTGTGACAATTTATTTTCTCTATTTGTTTCTTCTATATTTCTCTTGTATTTTCTTGAAAAGAATGTTCCACAAATAAATGTACTGTGTTGTTTGCTACCTTAACCTTTTGATTAGCTTTTCGTGCCTTTTATGTAAGTGCAGAAAATAGACAACTAATAAATTAACTTAAAAAGCATTTAATTCAATGCTCTGTTTTATTAACTAGAATCAGCAATTTAATCAATTTGATTACAATTGTATGGTGTTACACAACTCTAATCTTAAATTGCCCCCAAGACATTTCTAGTCCTAAACACTCTTTATTAGATCACACAACCTGTGTATCAGAAAAGATGACATTAACTTTCTTGCTTCGTTTTTGCTCTTGAGACATTCTTGATGCTTGTAGTTCAAAGTGTATATAACACACTTTGCCCGGTTTACTATTTAAACAAACTACCCAAACCTTTAAACTCAGAATCTAGTGTGTATTTTATTTATTACAAGTTTCCTTGTCGATGTATTTGGGAATGTACGCCATGCTTCAAGCGCATCTATCTCAGAGATTCCACTTCCGCATACGCGTCCTCAGCCACATGTTCCCTGATATACCTCTTAAGCTGCTTCCTGATGCATTCTGCATCTTCAATCTCCCTCTTTTTTTTCTTAGTCACTTCAGCACTCCTGTCATGTGTCCTGACATACGTCCTGCAAAACAGACGTGCATACACACAGAGTAGACCAAATGCAAGCCACAAGATAGAATACTAAAGAGGAGAGATTAAGCTTCTTAAAATACAGGCCAAACAATCCATGAACGACTTATAAATACTCCAATGCGCTCATCAAAAACTAACAAAAGTTCAAAAGAAAAATAAGCGTCTTAATCATAGTTTTAATCTAGAACACAAAAGCTAAGCTCCCCTATCATGGTCGCTCCCCCCACACTTGGAGTACCCTCCTCTAGTTCATCTTTCCCTGTTTAAGTGCACAACTAAGTTAAAAAACTAAGCACCAGCATCGATCAGAGTAAGAGAGGAGGAGACTTGCCTCGAAGAAGACGATTGATGATCAGCACAACCTGACTAAGAACCTGTTGATCAGCCGACAAGAGAGAGGTGCCCACCATAGATGAATGTCCTTCCTGTTTGGGTTTGACTTTGATGAAGACAGGAGCTGTAGCGATACGAAATGGCTGAATCATCTCTAGCCGACTGCCAGGATCAAGAGGAACATGAGACTGTTGCTGCAAGAGCTTGTAGATCAGACTAGGATACAGGAGAACAAACTTTGAGCCATGATTACATCCAAGGCTAACAATGTGATCATAGACCGTTAGTCCAAAATCAAATGGAGTCTCTGTTGCCATGCGATAGACAGTACGAGCGCGAGCCTTGTTAAAGAATCCAGTATTGAAGGTGGGTAGCCGGTTGTGACAACTGATCTTGAAAAGAACCCAATTGCCACTCTGATACTAAGACGTAGTTAGATTCTCCCACACATCGTACTTGCCACCACTAGTGGTGATTTTCTGGTTCAACAATTGGGATTTTTAATTATATGTTTAATTCTAAAATGGTTATAGCTATATTCTTTATTTTAGTGCATAATATGTATATTCAGCAAATTGACCCTAATACCCATCCGTAAAACACACTTGTGCGAGGCTCAAAACCAATATTTGACTTTAATATATTATGTCAAGTTTGTTGTGTTCTTGAAAATCTTAAAATGAAGAATAAATGAATTATTATTTTTTTTTTTTGGTATGAATGTTAATTTTATACCATTTTCTGAGGATACACTGTTGCTGTTGAACAACTTATTACAGGAAGAAGGAGAAACAGAACGGCAACAAAGAAATTACAATGCAGAAAAGCAAAGAAAGTAGACCTCCAGCAAAGATGAGGAGCCGTCACCTGGAACGGGGATAGAGAGGAGGCGATCCCTCGTTGTTTGATCAATGGCCAAGTGAACTGCAGCAGTTGTTGTGGATGTTGAGTTGAAGATCCTCCTGTTGCGCTCCTTCCAAAGCTGATAGATGATAATCTGAAAAAGCAGTTTCGTTACTACTCCTCTCGCTGAGCGACGGAGATTTGGATCATCGGAGATTACTGAAGCTACAGCATGGAGGGTTTGAGGTGGTGGTAAACCAGAACCCGCTGAGAAGAAACTCCAGATTTGAGAGGAGAAGGAGCACTCAAAAAATAAGTGGTTGTGAGTCTCCTGATGAGTAGCACACAGCGGGCATTCACCGGGAACATTAACACCCCACCGTCGTAGCCTGTCCTTAGTTGGCAGTCGTGCCAATAACGCCAACCAGGTAATAAAAGAGCATCGCGGAATTGCCTCTTTAAACCAGATAACCGCTGACCAGTGAATCTCGGGTGATCTTACTCGCAGGAAGTTCCAAGTTACCTTTGAAGAGAAAGAAGGCACAAACGAGCCTGCAGCATTGCGCCAGAGAAATACATCCGGACCCCTTGAAGCATGGGGGGGAGTGAGCGTAGACAGTACGACTTGAAGCGTCTCCCCTTCCTCTGTTCTTGCTGCAGGTAGAGTCCAATGTCCATTTGATGTGGCTTTGTTAACTGAAGCTTCCAGCGGAATTCGCAGTTGACGAGGGCCGTTTACCCCGAGAGCAGTGATTAACTGACCCATGTCATTCCAGTTGTCAAACCAGAAGGAAGCCGTATCACCATTCCTCACCACACAATGCATTAGGTGAACTAGAACATGCCTCTGCTGCAGCATGCTCCTGATCGAGCTGGAATACCATGGCGCATCCGCGGTCTGCCAGAAGCCTTTCCTCACAAAAATATGAGATTTCACCCAAGCGACCCACAAAGAGCCTGCGTTGGTGAAGAGATTCCATATCTGCTTCAGTCTGAAAACCTGCTGAAAGTCAGAGAGTCGACGGAGACCAAGCCCCCCTCGGCTTTGGGTTTACACACGTCTCGCCAAGCAACTCTAGCTCCCTTAGCCGAGTTGGTTTTGTTCTTCCACAGAAAGGCCGAGCATAAGGAGTCGATTTTGGTATAGAACAGTTTTGGGAGAGAGAACACAGAGATCCAAAAGTTCACCATGCCATAGATGACGGAAGAGACTAGTCTAATCTTGCCCGCGAAAGACAGAGATTTAACTGTCCACGAGTGAAGCTTACTGGTGACTTTCTCGAGAAACGGCTGCAGAGTAGCTAGGGTAATCCTCTTTGGGTTGAGAGGAAGACCTAGATATCTTGTTGGGAAGGTCCCAAGTTTAAAGCCGGAGATGCCACTTAGGACCGCTTGTTGGATGTCGTTGTAGCCACCAAAGAAAATCTTTGATTTTGATGGATTTATATCAAGGCCACAGATATCAGCAAAATGAACCATAACCTCTTTAATTCCAGAGATAGAGTGACGAGATCCATCAGAGAAGATCAACAGGTCATCTGCGAAAAGCAGGTGAGTGATCCTTGGGTCTGCGCATAATGGGTGCAATCTGATGCGTCCCTGCGTCACCGCCTGATCCAGTAATTATTATTTATTTACACTTCTCTCATGTTTTGGTTTGTGATCGTAAAATCTAAACATTGCCATATAAAGGAGTCCCTCCTTTAAAAATCTCTTTTACTCAAAGTTTATCAGAAACTCCAAAACATTAATCCCTCCGTTTTTTATTATATGATGTTTTAGAGATGTACATACAAATTAAGAAATCAGTTTATTTTTTATTTTTTCAAAACAAAACATATCTTTTTGTCAATTCCAAAATAGTTCAACCAATAGGAAAAATACAATTCAGAATTAAAACATCCAAAAAAACAAAAATACAATTAATTTTTGCATAGAAATTTGAGAACATCATATATTTTGGAATAAAAAATAAACTCTAAAACATCATCTAATAAAAAACAGAGGGAGTATCATACAGAGAAAAATTAAATGCTACCATTTTTCGTTTAAATCATGTTTAACTCCAAACCATCATTGGGTTTTGTAATCTATGGCTAATTCTCTCTAGTTGAGTGCCACATCAGCTTTGGAAAGAGTAATACCTTTAACTTTTATAATTAATAGTCTATTATTTTAATGGAATACGAATTAGAATAATTAATTATTTATCTTTTAATTACATGTTAATTAAATTTATATATACTTTATAAATGCATAACATAATTTACATTTTCTGGTGGTAAATAATTTATCACATATATAGTTATTATCGATAAAATATATACATATGTATTGTATATTTATTCAAATATATAATATTTTTAGGAAAATTCATATATAATAAATTATCATTAAAAATTTAATTTTTTTATTAAATAATAAAATATGTAATAATTGATAAGTACTCTTTTTTTATTATAGTCAAAATAGATAATAATATATTTCTATAATTATAACATATTTGTAAACTAGAATCAAAAGAAGTTGCATCATCAGGTTAAAATAATAGGACGACTAGAAATTAGAATTATCATTGTTCATAAAAAAGTATATAATTAAATAAATTATAACAAAGTATTTTAATAAATTATATTTTTAAAAAAAAAATTCGCGCATCGAGCGGATACTTATTTAGTTATTTTAATGGTTGATTAAAACGTTGTTGGGATAAATAATGTGTTTGAGACTGAGTGGTAGGACCAACGAGACATTATTATGAGCAAGACATGAAGGTCAGGATCTGGGATATGACCCATAGCAACCATGGATTAAAAATTTATTTCTGGTATCATACAGAGCTTGAAATAAACCTCTTTTATATGAATTATTGTGATTGATTTTGCATTTTGGGGGTGCTGGGTGACGTCGAATCAAAGCAAACATAGGGGCCAGAAAGCAATAAACGAACGAGAGTGATCGATATGGAGAGAGACACAGCTATATACATTTATCCTTTCGTTTGAGAATTGAGACCATAAGGATTCAATTATTTACTTATGGATTAAGCCAACCAATGTCTGACATTGATTTAAATAAATGTTTCCGTCCAAATTTATGGATAAATTTTTCATCGACATTTATGGCAATGAACAACTATTGAGACAGACTCGTTTCGTCACATAATTGAATGATCAAATTTTTTTTGGATAATCGATTCTCAAGAATCAAACCCATAACTAAGCTCTCGGTTTATTTACCACTAGGTGATCGGTTCGCATAGATTATAAAATATTTTATATGTTTAATATATGATTAATATTGTATGTTGGGGATGTTCTATTTGTATATGATATTTTTTTCTTATTGTTAATTAAATTAAAATGGGTTTTACCATCTTTACTTATCCTAAGAGCGGTTAGATGGTTGGCTCGCACATTCGTACGTATCAACCATCTTATCGCTCTTAGTACATATACAGATTTTTACAAAAATATAAATTGTCTAATAATTAAAATTAAAATTAGACTATAATCGAAGTTAACAAAATGCATGCACGATAAGTTCGCATGCGACTTTGACTTTTGCATAATTATACTATTATTTATATCCACACACATTTTGGTAGAAAAATCGAAGTATGGCTTTATGTTTTAAATAAAAATAACAAAATATATATTTAGTAATATATATTTATAATATGTTAGAATTGAATTCTAAAAAGAAATTAAAATATGTATATATATGTATGTAAGTATAAGCTAGAAATAAGTGAATTATAATATTTAGGTGTTGGTTAGGTTTTCTGATATTTTCCGCAAATGTTATGTTTTTACACGATGCAGTGTTCGTCATTTAACAATAATCACGAAAATTATTTATATCGTTCAGTATTTAGTCAAAATTTCTTATTTTTCAGGTTTTATGATATATGGTTTCAAATTAAAAATTATATTAAATATTCACAAAATTACAAAAAAACTCTAAAGAAACAAAAATATAAGATTTAACTTTACCATGAAGATAGTACATTGGATAATCTATTAGTAATTTTCCCTTTTAATAAATTTATAATAAAAATTTGCTATAAAAATTGTGAAATCATATTTTATAAAATTATCCGGTAGCTCTCCGCTCATCTCTTTGTCCAATATTGGGTGTTAGAACAAAATTATATTTTTTGCTTAGTTTGCACGCATGTGTTTATTATATATTTTGGTGTGACTAAAACAAGTTTTTTAAAAAAAAAATTAAATGACTTTTTCTGACAAACCACGATATTGTTATGAAAACCAAAAACTGTAAATATTTGTTTTACTTCATATTTATATTTGTTTCATTTTATTATCATTTATTCTTTTATTTTATTATTTTCATTTCTTTTCTGATATCAAATTCCCGATATACAATGAAAATGCATATATATATATACATATATGAATATAATATAAACTTTTGTTTTTATGTAAAATATGATAAGAGATAAGATGAGATGGTAACAAAAACTATGTAAATTTCAGAAAACATCAGTATACAAAGTGTTAAAATTATATAAAAATATATGGTCATATTAATACTATATAATAATAATTAGTGTATACTTTATTTATTTGGCATAGTAAGTAATAGTTCGAAAAGATAAATTATGTTAAATTATGTTATTTTTTAAACTTTCAATTAAAGTTAATTATTATTTTATTATTTTTAACCATTTTTATTCTTTAAAATTATTTGTATCATGATTGTATTTTATTTTAAATTATACTATTTAAAAATGTATCTAATTAAAATCTTTTTAGATGTTATCATTAGAAATTTTAATAAATTAATAACTTTCTAAAATAAGAATATATCATACTTTAAACATTATTAATATATAGAGTTTTTACTATCTTATTGGATAATCTAATATTATTTTTTTTCTTTTTTATATGAAATTATAATATATAAATATATATATATATATGTATATATTTTTGTAAAATTTCCATATAGTACTTTATGTAATTATAAATACTAGGTTACTACCTGCACATTCGTGCGGAGTAATATTTATTATAAAAATAATTGTCAAATAGTATGATTAAGAATACTAATAAAAAAGTAATTTTAATTTTAATTTATATGTTTATTAATTTATATTAATTTTATACCTTATATTTGTATCTATTTTGTGCATACCGCTTTTGATCATTTTGACTTCCATAACCAAATTTAAAAATTTATTTTTAGTCATGGAGAACATTTTGCCATGTATAATTGGTAGTCAAATATAATACAATAAAGCTTGATTTTTAAGAAATATTATATATATTATTAAGTTTGTTACAAACTTTTTTATAAAATTTAGGATCTAAATGTTAATTAGTGGATATTATAGAAATAAATATTTTTGAAATTGTAAGAAAATCAGATCCCCTACACATTATTTAAGAAGTACAATTAGTAAAAAATGCTGATGTGTCACACTTAAATGAAATCTTATTTTCTAAGTTCTTCATTTAAGTAAATATGTTTATTGTAGTGTATCTAGCGATTTTAATGTTCTATTAATATTCTTCGTCAAATCTTATAATTTCTAAATTTTATTAAGTTTATATTGATGTAGATATTTCTTTTTCAAAATAAGAATATATCATAGTTTAAACATGATAAATATATAGAGTTTTTACTATCTTTTTGGATAATCTAATATTTTTTTTTCTTTTTATATGAAATTATAATATATAAATATATATATATATATATATATCTATATACAATTGTAAATTTTTTGTAGTAATACTTTATGTAATTATAAATATATGTAAAAAATAATCATAATAATTATCATTTTTGTTGATTTAAATTAATTTATAATTTAGTGTATTTATGTTTAAT